TATATATATATATACACAAACATATTATTATTTAATAAGCACGGGGTTTAAATGATTCAGACTCCTTTCTGTTTGCACCGGGCCGAGTAATTGTGTATGCTGGTTGGCGGTGCATGTTTCAGGCATGGCAGCACAAAACAAAAGCTGCGGAGCCAGGGTTTGCCGGCGCCTTTCCTTTTCGAAGGCCCAAAGCTCCCGAAATGTTGAAATGGGTGTGGCTCAAACAGGAGGGGTTACGCAGGTTTTGGTCCATGCTTCCACTTATCAGGGTTCCATTTTGGTGCCGGTTTTTTGAGCCACAGCCAAATCTTTAAATGAAGAATTCAAATAAACAAGCGAGTTTCGGGTTTCGTTGCTTTGGGCTTCTGAAGCAAAAAGACTGAGCATTGTTTGCACGTGCGGGACACACTCAGGATGTAAACAAGATGGTGCGTCTGAAAAGTGCGTCTGAATACATACCATCTTCATTGATTAGAAAATCAGAATGGAGGATTCGAGGACAGCCCCATCACAGGATCTGAAATTCAAACAATAGAGAAACTCTAGCGCGCTCTCACAAATGACTACAAAGGCAATATGCGCTCTTGCACTGAGCATCGAACAGTCTCCGCAGTAGAAACCAACGCCGCGGAGAAACAAAACAAAAGGTAAAAACAAAAACACAAAAAAAACGTGATTACTATGCATTTTTTCGCGGAACAGTGTGAGTTGTAACACAAAAAGGTGCACACACTTCTTCCTGTAAAGCTAGCGATTTTCCTTTGTCGCCCCAACTCGAGCCGTAGGGGCCCCTTCAAATGGGCACGGGCTGTGCCTGACTCGGGTGTCAGGCAGACATCGGCATTGCCATGGGCATTGCTGGAACAGAGGTGGCCAAGGAAGCTTCGGATATGGTGCTGGCCGCTTGGTGCTGCGGTTGGCCTTGATTGCTCCAAGCTTGGTCCAGCATTGATGAAAGTGATGGAACGCCGATGGGCAGCGCGCCTTCGAGCCAAACCCACTTGTTTCCAAGCTAGATACGAGAAAGGATTTCCAGAGGGCAGATGTTGAGCTGCATGATGCGTGCCACCTTTTGTGGGTTGAAAAGCCAAGACTGACTTCTACAATCTGGCTCAAGGGAAAGCATCATGAAGCTTCAGCAGGCGGGTTGGCTGTCTTTACAGAAGGCATGGCCTTGTTTGCATATATGATAGACTAGGTCCCCCCACTAGAGCCCTTGTACCTTTTTTGGGGGGAGGGTTCCCCTACTAAGATAGACTCCAGAAAAAAGTTGGTGCCCTTGTTCTAACCTCTCTACGGGACCTTGTAGAGGGCCGCCGTTCGGCAGCAATGTTTGTTCCTGGCGCTTGCCTCGGGTCGGGGGGCCACTGGGTCGGTCCAAGGCAGACGACAACTTTACCAGCATCGTCGCTGCGGTGGAGGAGGGCCGGTCGATCTACAACAACATGAAGGCCCTGAGCTCAGGTCAAAAACTGGGCGGTTTGGACAAGTTCCCTTTGGTTTCCCGTTGAAGACCCACCCCTAGGCGGCAAGTAAGCCCGACTCTGATTTCCTCTTGGTGTCATCTCAACAAAAAGCAAGTCCATGGGCAACGTTGTGTGTTTTTGGAGCTCGCAAAACAAAGCCCGAGCAGCAATTGGCTTAAGTTGTTTTGAGTGACTTGGATTCATTACCGTGAGGAGAGGAATAAGGGATAGAACGCCCGCGCATGTTTCTCGACTTGGTAGTTGTTTTTTTCATTTCACCGGCAAATCATGGGTTTCTCGTGTAAACCCAAGGTGGTCAGCCAGGCTGCAGGTTTGAACACTGTGATGCATTCTCGCTCGAACTGTTTCAGCTCTGCTACTGGCCACCGCCCCGGAAGCTTAGAAGCACGCGGCATTACTTTCAGCTCACCCATCTGAATCAGTGCCAACTTATTGCTATGAATGACCCGACATGACCCGACAGTCTGGTGCTTCGCCATGGCAGAATCTGTCATGGCGGCTGGGAGCCCAAATAAGCCCCAAATCAGGCTTTTTAAGGGCGAACCATGGGCTTATTTCTCGCTCCTCCACCCCGCCCCCCTCACCTCCCCAGCCCCAATGATGTTGGATCGGCCAGGCCTTCATCCGCTACATGATCTCCTCGAACGTGGGCGAGGCAAACGGGTGTGGCAGATAGTTTGACGAGTGTTGTTCTCTACATGCCCATCAGCATTTCTGAAGCGACGTCGTTCATTTTACTTGACGTGTATTCATCCGTGTCCAACTGTGAGAACTCGGAAGCAGCGTGCCCAACAGGTTCACCCCCACCCGGCGCTCTGATTTTGGAGCTCGCGTTCTTTTTCACATGTCGGCTTGCCGGCCTTTAAAGTCCTTTCTCTCATTGGAACACTCCATTCGCTGAGGGTGGCACTTGAGCACTTCCCAGTCCTACTGTGGATGGACGAAATCCTGCATCACTCTGAAACCATGGGAAACCATTTGTCTTTGGTATTTACATGGGAATCATCCTTCCAGGGTGTCTTAGGTGGTGCAAAATGGATTTCGTCCATCCACAGTATTTTCAATTTTCCGCATTTGGTTTCTCTCGCCTCATGGGACTCCCGGAGTCCTAAGAGCACCCGAATCTCCACCGAATCCACGCGCACCCCGAGCGCCGCGCGCCGCGCTGCGCTGCTTGAGGTGGCCGCGATTTTCCTGACCGCCGCTCTGGGAGTCCCGGAGGGCCTGACTCCCGTGCAGCTGCTCTGGGCGGCTCGGTGCACGCGCAGGTCGCGCGCGGGAGGTGGGGAGGTGGCACGCAGGTGGGGAGGAAAATCTTTGGCCTGGGAAAAAGCGGTCGTAAACGAGGCTCCATGCGATGACATGCCTAGTCATTGCAGGTTTCTCTCACAATGACTCATGACGAACAGCGGTTGCCTAACCGTTGGGACACCGTTCGGAGAATCCTGACTCGGGCACCCTGGCTCGAACTGATTGCGTGACAACAACATGCAAGAAATCGCTATGTGGCAAGATGAGGGCTATCATCAGCAACTGGAGATTAGCGCAGCTGATCTGAGTTTGGTGTCGTGCTAGTGTGCTAACAGTCAATCAAACGAAATCATGACACACGCACACAGGTGCCGGGCCAGCCGACTTTCTGCTGTTGCCTGGCGGTGGCCGACTCAGGTAAACCTCGTGACCGATGGCCCACCAGCCACTGCCCTCGGCTTCAACCCCCCTGATTTGGACGCCGCTCGGCAGACCATCGGTGGGTAATTACCAGTCGTCAGAATCGGCGAGATACCAGCTTCCTTTACATTGAAGCCCTAGGCAATATATATATATATATAATTGATCAAAGCGGAAGTGCTCAAGTAGTGTTTGATTATTAAGTGTGTTTGGTGTTTGTGTGTGTGTGTGGGTGTTGTTTGTTCGTGCTTGTGTTGTTCTGTGAGATTATATTGATTCTGTGCGTATGTGTGTGTGTGATCTGTTTTGTTAGTTGATGCGTGCGAGCGCGGATTCGTTTGTGTGTGTGTGTGTTGCGTGTTGTTCCTGATTGTTTGTGTTTGCGCTTGTGGGCTTGTGCTGTGTTTGTGTGTGTGTGTGTGCGTGGTTGTTTGTTTGTGTTTGTTTGTGGTTGGGACAGCGTGGTTTGCAGGTTCATGCATGTTGCCTACCCTTTTTCTCCACAACCTGCGCGGCTTTGGACCATGGACAATTGACCGCACCAGCACCAGTGGGGCCTGGGTTAGTCGATCATATGAGAAAGAGAAAGCACTGCATGTACAAGCAGTAGAGCCCTCAAACAGAAAGCCAAAAGACAAACACGGCAACACATGGTCCAGACATACACAGCCACACGCAAGACACAACCACGCCCACAAGTGTCCAACTCTCTCTCTCTCTCTCTCTCTCTTACATGAACGCATGGAAGTGCCACACCAAAAACACACACACACACACACCCACCCACCCACCCACCCACCCACCCACCCACCACCCACCACGCACGCAGAGCAGGCAGGCAGGCAGGCAGGAGGCAGGCAGGCAGGCAGGCAGGCAGGCAGGCAGGCAGGCAGGCAGGCAGGAGGCAGCAGGCAGGCAGGCAGGCAGGCAGGCAGGCAGGCAGGCAGGCAGGCAGCATGCGACACACGCACGCAACGCCGCACGCACGCACGCGCACAACACACACACACACACACAGCACACAGACACACAGACACACAGACACACACACACACACACACACACACACACACACACACACACACACACACACACACACACACACACACACACACACACACACACACACACACACACACACACACACACACACACACACACACACACACACACACACACACACACACACACACACACACACACACACACACACACACACACACACACACACACACACACACACACACACACACACACACACACACACACACACACACATGCGCACGCGCGCGCGCCCACGCACATACACGCACACACACACACACACACGCACACTCACACACACACACACACACACTCAGAGTCACTCTTTCTGGTCTCTCTCTTTGTCACACTCACACACGCTTTTCGACGAGACACAAAGATGAAAGGGACTTTTCTGCATTGTAATGTTGTCACAATGTTACTTTTTCGTGGCCAAAGACACAGCAGGATTCACAGTTGGTGTGTGTTTGTCATGTCCCTAGTTGAAGGTTGATATCCTAGCACCTGACATTGCCCTGTGCCCAGGTTATGCAGAAGGCGCCCCGACGGAAAGACGACGCCTTGATTTCGGTGTGGTCCTACGTGCGCTATTTTGTGGCCGCCCGGCCCGACATGTTGCAACTGTTGGGTTGGGCTTGGAGATGGGGTGTGGGGAGGGTTTCCAACACTCCCCCCCACCCCGAAACAATGGACTCGATCTATTCCAGTCCACATGACTAATCAGCTTGGAGCATTCGTGTCAGTGATCTTCGGTTTGCTTTGGCAATGGCCGACGCCTTGAGTTGGGAACCCCTTAGGGTTTTCTTGTGTTTCCGCGGTCGGAAACAAAGGACCCGCACCAGGTACACCAAGTACGGTGACTTGATGAGTAAGACCAGGAACAGTTTAGCGACAGGCAGCCAATTAGATTGATGCCACAGACATCATACCATACACCTCACAAGAACATGGCGCAACTATGTGAGACTGGCACCGGTCCTTGAGCACAGCAAGTCTGGCAATAGTTTAGCTACACGGAATCTATGGCGCAGATGGCAGCATGTTGAGCCAAGAGCATGCGAGGCCGTGCCGTCATTTGGAGCTAGCACTCCGTTGGCAGATTGATGTGCAGTTTGACTACTGTGGATCGACAAAATCCTGCACTTTCAAACCATGGTTGAAACCATTCTTCGTGGGTATGAAAAGGGGAATCTCATTCCAGGGTTTGTTAGTTGCGGATTTCGTCCACGGAATCGTGCGCCGTTCAAGTGCCGAGCTTCCCTGGACATCAACATGCTCAGCCCTTCAGATGTTTGGTCCACTGGGCCTGAATGGTGAGCTGCACAAGCCTTGTTTGTGAACCAAGGGTTGCTTTGTTCGCGTTTTGGTGACCCATTGCCAATGCGTGGGTACTTGGATACTGAGGTGGGCGCATACGTCGGCTTCGCCGTGGTGGGCATTTTTATGCAACCCGGTCTCTGTATGTTTTTTTTTGTTTTTTGTATTTTCTCCGGTTTTGGTGAACAGGCGGGCACTGACATTGACGGCTCCAGCAGATCGCTGCATGCCAGTTGAGAATTCATTTGTTGTTGTCAGACACCCTATCCGCCCCTTGCAACCCACTTGGATGAGACTAGGCCCCCTTTCTAAAACTTACAAGCAGGGCCCTTTGCGATGGTTCAACACTCGCCCTGGTGCCCACTTTGATGGCAAGGGCGGTTGCCCCAGTCCACTATCCATCATCCACCGGACGGGAGGTATTGGTATATCTTCGATGTCAATGCTGATGGTCACACCCTGGTGTCAACAGCGCAGCTGCTGACCTGGGGCAAGTGCAGCGACTGGAAGGATGCGAGTCGCCAGTTGGATATGCGAGTCGCCAATTGGGGCTTGAGTTGCGGTAAGATGCATGGCAACTGAAAGCCCTTTCTGAAATGAATGAGTTCGACCTTGACTTGTCTCAGCGAACCCTTTGGCAATTTCTTGCTAGGGTGTTACCAGATTCGTTTGACAAGGTGATTTGCTCCATCCAAACATCAAAGCTAAACCACCGATATGGTCATCAGAATCGTTCAGCACAATGTGTGCTTTTAACTTACTTTGGGGCTCCCAGTAGCTTTCAATTCGCGCGCTGTTCTTGCGTGTTCTGAGAGAGGGCCCACTCGGGAACCGGAAAGCCCGCCATGGAAGGACCATGGGAACCCCATCCCATCGTGAAACTGAGCCATGGCAATGAGCCATGGCAACCCTTATGTCAAGAGTTGCACCTTTCCCGTTTGACCCAAAATTGCCCATTTCCATGGGGCCAGAGTTCCACTTTTGGACTAGGGTAGTCAACTCAGGGGTGGTTCATCCCCCCAAAAGGAGAAAACCCCTGGTTTTGGGTCTAGAAAGCGCAGCTTTCGTGTCCCGGCAGGACTTCTCGGTGGCGGACTGGGATGGCATGAGCACCTTGGTTCGGTCGAAGGAATGAACCTTTTCCCGGTCCAGTGCAAACTTGTGGCACCAAATTAGAGGGGTTTCGAGTCCTGGTTTACCTGGTGGTTTTCTCTCATCTACCAGCAGGGAAACCCATCTATTTTGCCCTAAAAGGACACCTGTATAACTTGCGCTCGGAAGGTAATGAGCCGGAAACCCTGGCACCATGCTCGGCTCCCCAGAGTTCCTTATAACGGGCTTTTGGGTTTTTATGGTTTAGTGCTTGGGCTGCCAATGGGGAGAAAATTGCAAAACCCATTCTGGTGTTGTTTGTCTAGGTCAGAAACCGGCCCGGAATATGGCTCCGTCTTCAAAAGAACCCGCTGAAATGGCTGGCTTTTCCTGGGGTTCCCTTGAAAAAAGTCACGAGCCAGGGGTACCAACTTCAAAGACCCAGATTTCAACTTTTGGTTTCCCTATGGCTGGCTTTTCCCTCCACCAGCAACCCGGGGTACCAACTCTCAAGACCTACGACTCGATGGCCCCAGTCGTTGTCAGCCGAGGCTTTTCCCAGGAGCCTTGCGCATACTTCACCGACGGCAAGGCGAAGGCCTGGAAGATGGAGCGGACCGAGTAGGGGGGGGGGGAACACGAGGGATGAGCCATGGAGAAGATCGATTCTTGATACTTGGGCATCAAACTCTTATTTCTATTTTTTCTGATTTCAGGGATTGGTACGGCTCAAAATGTGCAGGAATCTCAGTGTTGGGACGTCGTATGGAATGCAAGATAGTTTCTTGGGCGTGTAGCACCAGAGAGGGGGAGAAGTGGGGGACATGCGCGTGGAATGCACCTAACTGTCGGGTTTAGGCAGGCTGGCTAAAAACCCGGAACGTAACACGACCCACTCGCACACCTGTCGCAAAGAGGCATCGACATTGTCGCTCACAGTCCTAGTCGTCATTGAGATGCTGAATGCCTTCAACGCGCTGTCTGAGGACGGGAGGAATCAAAAACCAGAGGCGAGAAAGCCATTTGGCACGCCCCCAAACTTGTTTGTTGCTTCCGCCCGTTTGGTCCACCAACGACTATTTTGTTGCAAGACCTTTTTTGTGTATTCCTTCATGCTCTTGTTCAAAGCCGCCGCCTGTCACGTTGCATGGTGGGTCTCTTGGCTCGAGGCATGCAATCTGCAAGGACGGATCCCTGGTGCAAATGCCGCCCTGGGCTAACCCCTACCTCATCGTAGCCGCCAGCATTTCGGCACCTCGGCTGCGGCAAGTAAAATCATGGGCGTGTTGATCAGAGATGCCCCAGGTTTGCTAAGGCGTGTTGCAAAAGCGGCCTACTGCGGCCATTGCGGGCCATAGAATGCAATGTGGGGCCATGCACGTCAAATGTTTGTTTGACCTTCATGGCCGCCATACCTTCTAGCACCATGCCCGAAGGTAACACGCCGAACAGGAGGGCCGCATCTTAGAAAGAACAACAACTCGAGGTTGCAGTTGCCATTTGAGGGAGTGTGTTCCCTGCACCAGGTTGTGCCAAGAACCTTCACTCGGCTGTCATGATCTAGTGGCTACATGTTTTTGGGGCCAGAGGTGCCATGAGGAGCTTGCCCAAGCAAGGGCCAACAGTACTGGATGATTTGCTTTGTGGGTACCCTTTTTGGGTTTGCTCTACAGAAGCACCCATGGTTTCTTGCAGCTGTCTGCACCACTTCAACCCCATGTTTTGAGCATGAGCATTTCGTCAAACTCCTGAATGTTGCATCGCGACACTTAGCAAGTGGCCTGAACTACACGTCCACGACCCCGCAAACAATTGGTTTTTGCTCAGAGTGTATGCATTCTGCCTCAGTTCCTGCATTTCAAGAAGCAGCGCCACGCGCATTGCTCGGGGCAACCTTGCCAGGCCCCAGTGCTCGGCCGTCCTTTCAATCAAATTCAAGTTGGTTGAGCTTAAAGTTTTGTTTTTTTTTCATTCTTGGCCATGCACTATTCGTGCTTGTTTGCCCAGACCCATCTCCTGAACCCCTGAACCTGTGCCCAGATTGGCAGCCACTTTGTGATTCTCTACATCCCGGCCCTTGCCGCGGCCTCAACACCCGCAAGCTTACAGCAAGTGCTTTGGGGATTCGGCGCTTGGAAGCGCCTTGGCGCCTTGTCAACCGGGACCCCTGGCTTTGGCATGTCTACTCGCCAATCAGCAAGTGCCCACGAGGGAGAAATGCGGAGCCTGTCATTGAGACGTCCTGAGAATTGGGAAGGAGAAGCTCATCCTGAGAGCTTTCCTTGGCTTCCTGGGCGAAATGGCAAGCACTTTAGTGGCTCACGCAGCGAGCCGAAGTGCGAACCTGATGTCAAGGGATTTTGCATCACCACCCACCTGGGTGAAGCAAGTCCTGTGCCAAATGACCAGTTTGCCAGGCTACTTGAGGCTGCTGCAATTTAGGTTGAGAGCAGTTGCTTTGGTCTAGGGGCTTCGTCTCCCAGCTGGGGGGCGCTTCTCGTGCGCAACAGCTACACTGAGATCATGTTGGATAGTTTCTGGCCCACAGACTGGCTGGGAATATGTATGGGACATTCTGGGACGGCAGTTTGCTTGCAAATTCCCTGAGCCATAATCTTCATTTGGAAGACGAGCTAAGCAAACCTGGTAGATGCCTACGCTCAAACCCAGTCCGGTCCACGTCGACAGGTGCTCGCATTCTTTGAGCCAAGCGCATGAGGCAGTGTTTAAGACCTGATACGTGCCCGGGAAGCGGGATACGTGCAGTTTGGCTCGCCAAAAGAGCCAAGGGTCAGATGTTTGCTCAATCGCATCAGAGCTTACGAGCTTCTCCTAGCTCGTGTTAGCAAGGGGCTCACTCTCCCTCATTTTCCGATTTCAACCTGACATAGCCCTTTGCAACATGTTGTGCAACGATGCTATTTGCATGGCTGTCAGCCTGTTTGAACGGGGATGCTGTTGATCCTGCCCAGTTGCCAAGGCCAAAATCTTCGGTGTGGTGCCG